GTCCATTATCCATGGATATCCACTTAGAAAATACTTGCGCATAACCACAAAAAAATAAAAAAAATATATTTATATATTTTTTAAATAAAATTTAAATAAAATTACGAAAAACATATATATAATATAATATAAAGTAAATTAAATATAAATTAAAATTTAATTTTAATTAAATTTAACCAAATAAAATATAAATTAATTTTATTTTTAATTAAATCTAATTTAAAAAATAAAAATTAATATATCTTTTTTATTTTTTCGGATAGCGGGTACCCATGGGGCGGATAGTTTTATACCCGCACCCAACCCGTTTAGAAACAAGTATTAAAATATTCGCTACCCGTTACCCACGGGTAGTAACTACCCGCCGCGGATACTCGTACTCACGAATTTTTTTGTCATCCCTAATTGCGACTGATTGCTCCATCCAACAGTCGGTCGATATTGGATAGCGGTAGACGTTCTTTGAGCAAGCCTTGTTGAGGTCTGTATAATTGAAACACAATGCCTACTATGTGGTGAACAATGGTGTGAAGGATGATGTCAAGGTGTAAAGCAACCGATGAAGTAAAGGGGTAAGCGGGTAAACCACTTTAGGATGCTCCTTTCAAGATTGTACAATAGGCCTTAAACATAACAATATCACCAATCAAATACATACTTACTTGGGTAACGTATATGATGGCATGTTCATCTGGATCAATGTTACCATCATATCAATCTAGTGTCAAGGTCTTCCATTGCTTAGGGAGTGAGGTATCCGTGATGTCATCAACAAAGGGATGCCAACGATTTCCTCCTTTTGCTGAGGAGTTATATGTTGCCCGTCGAGTTTTATAATTGTTTTTCCCTTCTACTTCATGGGCAACATGGAGGTGGGATGATACAACCTTTTGCACTGATCCTACATTCTCAAGAATTTCCTTTTTCTTCCCTTTGCCAATTACTGCTTAACCTCGACCCTTCTGAGTTTGGCGTTCTTTTGCCTTAAGGCATTCATCTCTTCAACACTTCTCATCTTAAACTCTACAAATCTTGTTGCATTTTCATTTGCGCTTCTAATATCACAACTATGTCAACTAAGAAGAGTCATAAACCTACTTCCTTTGCTCCGATCATCCTGCTCCTTATGGAAACCATATAACTCTTTTCTTCACAAAGTATATATGCCAGCTCTACAATGGGCACCAATTGTTCTTACAATGTCAATTATACTCTACAAATACTCAAACTCTGAACACTCCAAGCTCTGACCTTAAGGTACTCGTCCTCCTCAAGCTGAATAAGGTTTGTACCTGTAGAAGACACTTCGACACAAGTCAACTAAGTAAGTAAGAAGGTAATAAATGCAGTAATTAATTAACATAATTAATGTACCTCATGTACTTTACTATTTATACCATGTTTATGGATTTTTTTTACCTGAATGGAACTAGCCCAAATGACTAATTACCTTAATTAGTTTTTGGTTAATTCATCTACTTAATCATGATCTTAAGTTAATCAACTCAGTCAACGATTTTGATTGGCCAACATGTATTTAGCCAAGCCATTATGACGCGAGATCATATACGAGGACCGAGACATCTAGGCATAGGTGGTCAAGATGTATTGAGATATGTGAGAAACATTGTTGTGATTGGTTGACATGTATTCAACTAGACTTCTTTATCTTATAATCATACCATAAGACTCTGTTTCGGTTGAATTGGTTCGAGAGTCGGTCATTCTTCCTTGCTCTGCTCTCTTTTGAACTTCAATTCTCTCCGAGAATGCTATCCACTTTGATGAATTGTTGACCTGCAGAAGACACTCTGACGCTCAAGTCAGATATGTTTCATAAAGATGTCTACATTTTATTAGGATCGAAAAAGATCTCTGTACCTGGATACCAATGGTATATTTATAGGACTTGTGGCAACCAAGTCCATTGATTAACCATTAATTCAGTATATTTTTGGGAAATATAATCTGCCAATCACTCATAAATACTGTATATTCGTCCTTAATATAACCATTAAACGTATTAATTGACTATTAATGATATTTACCTTTCAGATTAGTTTGTCTCACAGTCGGTCGGTTGCCAGATATAATACAGACTCAACACATTTAGGCACAAATGTCCTAGATGTCTTCATATACATATCTTACCCTAATCATGACAAAAAAAAGTATAAAAACATATAGTGTATTCTACGACTTCAAAGAAAATAAATGTTAGATTACATTATTGTTGTAAATGTTGTTTGAATGCAAAAAAAAATAAAAATACATTATTGTTACAAAATACATATGAAACTAACCCATTAAATGTTAAAATTAGGGTTGGGCATAATTAGTCTAACTGTACTAAACTGTATATGTATTATAAAAACTAAACTATTTTTATTAAAAACTGAATTATACTGTTTTGCAGTTCAATTTAAAAAACTGAACTTTTATATCCGCAATTAACTGCTTCAGTTAACCAGTTAACTGCTTGCTTGCTTTATAATACTAAAAACTTAAATAAAATTTAATTGCATAAGTTACATAAAAAAA